GCAATGCCAGGGCGGCCACGGCCAGCACAGCGGGCACTGCCAGAGCCGAGGAGCTGTGCAGCACGGCATGCTCACTGCTGGCTGTGCAAGAAAGCCATAGAGCTGTTAATGCCATCCTGCAGTGTCACTCTGCAAGCCTGCAGCGTTCCTTAACCCGCCTCCAGGCCATGGCTGCAGGCTGCCCTGCTGTCACACGCTGTGCTTTGTTTAAAACAAAACTTCAGCACTGCAAAAACGCTCTCTCTCCTCCTTGACCAGCGTGGAGAATTTCAGCCTTGAGAGAAGCTCAGAAAGGGCAGAGTAAAAGCACTGCCTGAGGAGGGCATGGAGCAGCGCAGGCGCTCAGCTGCGGTTGCAGCGAGCTGCATCCTCCGGGCGCGTGCAGGTGAGCACACAGTGCTCCAATAGCTGCTGATAGAACCATCTGCAAAGGGCTAATGGCTCATTCATTAAGAGCGGGAGCCTGCACAGCCACAGCCTAATCAGATATGGTACGATGAATAATTCAGAAATAATCCTCGCGCACTTGAATAAATATCAGGAGAAGGGAAGTGAAAGCCCCGTACATATGGTGCGTGGAGGGAACAAAACAGACATTCTTCAATGTCCTCCGCTGATGAGCTTCGTTATACGGATGTTAATCAGGCAGGTGGTCGATGCCTGAGGAGAACGCTGACGGAGGGGTTCCTGTCCCAGCGCTGGAAGGTGTAGCAGGCAGAAAGGACCACACTAACAGGTGCTCACAGAGAATCCATTCGCCTTGCATTCTGTCATTTACACGCGGTCCTGTTGTGTAATTAGCTGGCGACGCAGGTGGAGCTTTGGGTTTGGGCCCAGGGCTGCCCCGCTCCCTTCACCACGACAGGGCCAGCATTCTACAGGGTCGATGCGGGTGCTGAACGCCGTTTCCTTCATCTGAAATACCTCTGTGCAGAACGAAGGAATAGCCCGGAGGTGGGCAGAGCACGGAGAGCACAAAGCAGAGCAGCACAGCCGCATCCCAACCCATGGCTGCACCAGGAGCCGCGGGGCGGTGGGACAAGGGCAGAGCAGGGCAGCTCCTGGCACAGCCTGAGCCCCTCAGCTCAGCCCCTCCTCGGCTCTCCATGGGCTCTACTGCCGTGCCAATACCTTTAACTTAACTCCAACGTTAAATAACACGGCTTACAGCGCGGCTACAGTTTTCTCCCTTCCAAAGTCTTTCTTCTTATCTCCTATGAGATGAGTTTCTTTTCAACAAATCTCATTTTTCTAAAAGCAACCCTTGAGTTTTCAGTCCAAGAAATGGGACATGCATTAATAAAGGAAACTGAACTATTTTGAGAAGAAAATACATAAAGAATAGCAATATAAGCATCTGAAAAAGCAAAGTTCAGATGTGGCGTTTGTTTTTCTAATATTTAATGTTTCAATATAGTGCTTAAAGGAAAATAGTGCCACTGCATTCCTAGCACTGGCAGAAGGAAAAACAAACGTGCTGCATAGAAGGAGAATGCAGGCTTCTGCTGCGCTCTTGTCAGGAGCACAGTACAGGAAATTTTAAGATGAAAAGCCTACTGAAAGCAGCTGAAGTGATGGATAGTTTTCAGTTTCTGCCAGAAGCTATAGAACTGTTAGAACAAAAATAAAGGTAGGGTTGAAAACACGGAATTGATATGCTACCCTTCTTGAATAAAGTAAGGGTGTTTCACAGTCAGGAGGGAGGTGTTAGTGAATAAAACAACAAACAAAACTGGGAGAGTGCAAGAAAACGGCATCATTTATTCCAACACAAAAAATGAAAGGCAAATTGATGTCTGATTGTGTGAAATCATCTTCTGACCCAGCAGAGCTGTGATGAATGAAAGCTCTGTTTGCATTTGATATAGCTGATTCCGATACAGAAAGCAGAAATAACACGGCATGTTTTGCAGCGGTGGATTTGCAGAGCCCTAACATCCTTACCGAGTTAAATAATTAAGAAGCCATCAGCATTCGCTGCAGCATCTAAAATAGAATGATGTCAGGAAGTGGTAACTCCTTCTACTGCAGGTTCTAAAGGTGGTGCAGCAGCACATCTATGGGAATGGCAAAGGGGGTCTGCGCCCCGCTGCACACCGACCGGGGCAGAACACAACAGCAGTGCTGCTCTGTGCTCCTGCTGCCTGCAGCCACAGCTGGGGGTTGGGACGAGGGGAAGGAAACGTGCAGGTTGGATCTCTGAGGCACAAGTTTGGCAGCTGTAGGAACCAAGCCTGCCTGGGGCCGTCCTGCACAGACCCACGGCTGACCCACGGGGTCACTGCAGTGACCCACACACAGCAGCAGCCCCAAAGGGATCTGGGGACAGAACGTGCCGAGAGCATCCGAGGCCTCATCATTGAGCAGCAGCGGCGCTGTGGGGACAGCTGCAATGCAGCGCTCTGCTGTTTTGTGTGTCTGAAGGAAAAAGCTGCTGCAGAAGGGCGGTCTGCCCAGCTCCGCTCACAAGCAGTACTTCCAATCCTCTTAACTTTACTATTTGAGAGTTAAACGCTTGCGGTGACCAGCTGTTTTTTTCCCCGTGGGGATGCCAGAAACATATGGTCACGAAGAAACAGCCTGCCCGAAAGGCACAGGGACCTCTATGCCACGTGTAAGCTGTGATGCAAAAGCAGCAGAAGCAGCAGCTACACACACTGCTATGCCAGCAAACCTGACGCACCCGGCGCAGGGAAAAAGACTGCAGCTTCCCACCCAATTTCCTGGTTAATGAGGGAAAATTCGGGTATTGCAGGGGGCAGCTGCAGGATGAACCCTGGGTGGTGCGGGTCAGAGGCCCTTCCTGGATGTCAGCACAGAATGCAGATCCATTTGCCTTTAATGGAACACAGAATCACAGAATCACAAAATGGCCAGGGTTGGAAGGGACCTCATGAATTTCCAACCCCCTGCCACACGCAGGGCCACCAACCTCCACATTTCATAGCAGCCCAGGCTGCCCAGGGCCCCATCCAACCTGGCCTTGAACACCTCCAGGGATGGACGGGGCATCACAGCCTCTCTGAGCAGCTGTTCCAGCACCTCACCACTCTCACAGCAAAGAACTTCCCCTGACGTCCAGCCTCAATCTTCCCTCCCTCAACTTCAAACCATTTCCCCTTGTCCTGCCGTTATCTCCCCTTTCCAAGAGCTGATTCCCCCCTGCTGTTTGTAGGCTCCCTTTAGGTACTGGAGGGCTGCAATGAAGTCACCCGGCGCTGTGCATCCACTACCGCAGAGGCTGCAATTGAGTGCAGGCCGCTGTCAAAGCCCGAACTCGGTACAGCTGCCTCGTACCCAGTAAATGAAAGCGGCGTTCTGCTGAGTGCGGGGCTTCAGGTTGCGGGATCCAAATGACAAAACCCGTTTGAAATGACCCCGCAGGCCGGGGTCACGCAGCGAGCAGCCGCGGCTCCCCGCCCGCCTTGCGGCGCAGCACAGCGGCCCCGGCTCGGGGAACGGTAACCGCGCGGTGCCGCCAGCGCCACCCGCGGCTCTGAGCGCTGCGGGGCGGAACGCGGCGCGCGGCCGGGCCGGGTAAGGCCGCCGGCTCCGTCGTCGAGGCCGCGACCCGCCCGGCGCTTCCCGATCTCCGCCGCCCGCGGAGCGCTGGGGCCGCGCGGCCCTCCCCGCCCCTGGCCGGCTCCCGGAGCTGCTCCGCAGGGAATCGCGCGGAGCTTCTCCCCCAACCCGTGCGAGCCGCTGCGCCCCCCCCTCCGCCTGCCCCCCCCTCCGCCTCCCGCAGAGCCGCTGCCATTATGCTCCGCCGTCTCCCGGCCGGGCCCGGCGGCGGGCGGGCGGCGCTGACCGCGGCCGTGCCCCCCTAAGCCCCGCCGGGCCCGGGCCGCAGCAGGTGTGTGCGCGGGGGGGCGGAGGTCGCATGCGGTCGGGGTCACCTCCTCCTCCTTCCCCTCCTCCTCCTCCCGGCCCGGCGGAGCGCAGCCCGCTCCGCACCGCGCGGCTCCGTCGGCCGCCCGCATCCCACCTCCCCCCCAACCCCGATTAGCACCGCCGCCGCGAGGCCGCGACCCCGTCCGATGCTCCTGGGGGTAGAGGGGCGAGCGGGGCCCGGCTGGGGCGGCGGTGCGGCGGAGGGGGGGGAAGGTGCGTGGGGAGGGGTCGTCGTGCGGTCCGCGTGCCCGGGGCCGAGGCGGCGGAAGAACGTGGCAGCGTTCCCCAGCGCGGGGTGGGGATGAGGGACGCGGGGAAGGCGCCGGCCCTCGGCGCTCCCGGAGGGGAAGGCGGCGCGGGTCGCGCCCGGCCTCGGCTCTTAGTTACAGGTGCGGCTCGGCGGCGTCGCCGGGTTGGCGGCCGGCCGGAGGACGGAGCGAGGCTCGCGCGGAGACGGGGCCGGGCGCGTAGCGATGGCGGTCGTTGCGCGGAGCCCGGGGTGAGTAGCCTCGGCGGAGCCGCCGCTGCCGCGTGGGACGGCGCGGCTCCGCCGCCGGCCGCGGCCCCGAGGGCCGCACGCAGCGCCGGGGCGGCCGCCATCTTGTCGGGGTGGGCCGCGGCCTCCCGGCTTCGCGGGGCCGCCGGGCGCCTCGAGGAAAGCCGAGCGGCAAAAGGAAAAAAAAAAAAAAGAAAAGGAAAAAAAAAAAAGGCCGTCACGGCAGCCCTGCGGCTCGGAGGGGCCGGGGAGCCGCTCCGCGGGCATCTGTCCGCTGCGGAAATGGAGCTCTCGAGGGGAGGGAGGTGCGTGCGTGGGTGATCCCTGCCACCGGCGCCGGGCGGAGGGAGGGAAGATGCCGCCGAGCGGCCCCAGGTGTGGGGGCGCAGGGCGCGAGGGCGGGGGGGGACGCGGCCGCCCCGGGTGCGGCCGTGGGGCAGCGCTGCGGCCGAGGCTGCCGCAGACGTCCCGCGAGCCTGCCCATCGCCCTGCCTTTGTTAGCCGCGGCCGGGCACGCGGACAGCTTTCGGCCAGGTGGTGGGAGGTAAGTGGGGGGAGGGCGGCGGGGAGGCGGGGGGCACGGAGCGAGGGGCGGCCGGACGGGGTCGGGGCTCGGCGGCCCCGCGAAGGCGAGCGGAGCTCCGCGCCTGACGGGGACGCGTTGGCAGCTCCGGCGGGGTTGCCGTAGCTTTTATGTAGGGTGACCAGAACCGGCTGGAACTGGTTTGAGGCAGATCGGCTCCCGAACACAATGCAGTCAGTGAGCTGCTACAGTGGGATAGCTTCCTCCCTCCATGGCAGCCAAAAGCAGAGGAGCTTGCAGAAAGATACCGTCCCCAAACAGTATGTGAATGCACACTTAGACACACAGCACTGGTATGTGGCTATGTAGTCCTAAAGGGTTCTGTCTGTAAATGTACATATTTGCAGTGGCTGAGACGGCTCGGGCTTTTTCTGCCTTTTTTTATGCTTAAGGAAGGGGCGAGAGCTTGAGATTTACGGCCCTTGTTAAAATAGTTTTGCTTTGCAAGGGTGGGACACTGGTTGTGCAGTCTGTTTTAAAACTGAACCGAATAAAACGGATGGAATGATTTGTAATTGTAGCCGTGCTTGCGACTGAAGAATGCTGCTTTGCATGCCGTGTTATTTGCAGGGCACTGTCGTGTGGTTTTCTTCTGGAGGGGATGTTGGGGAGGGGGTCTGAAAGGCCAAAAGGAAGCGATGTTGTTGTGGAATCGTGTGTGAAGCATTGCAAAGATGCTGCAAGGCGTACTCATTTCTCCTTTTTTCTTTTCCTCCTTGTAGGCCTATTGACTGGGGCTGCCTTTAACCCTTTCGTATTCGCGGAGGTGATCCATCTGAGGCAGTAACTGAGCGCTGGCAGAAAAGCCTCCCAGAGGTCAAGGTTCACAAAGGTGAGGCGGGTGTGTGAGTGTGACAGTGGTGTGCGTGCGTGGAAGGCAAAGCCGGCTCCTGGCGGCACGCTTGGCACGTTAGCGAGAGCGACGGCGGCGTCTAAGCGTGTTGGTGAAGAATTGCTATGAACCTCCAGGTTTAATAGGATTAAGGCTATTGTTTGTAAAGGCGTGCTGATACCTGCTCTGAACACGGCCGTTTCGATATCTCACACCCGGATGCGCGCTTTTTCGCAGCGCTGCGATAAAGGATAGGCCTCTGAGTGGCAATCGTAAATTGCGGACCACATGGCAGCGAACTGTTGGAGCTGTGTTACAGCAGTGACCGTCCAGAATTTGCTGTCTGGTTGGGCAAAGGTGGCTTGTTTGGCCGTATGTGAGTAACCCGACGTTTGTTTCTGAATTCAGGTCTTCTGTCTTAAACCTGTGCTTAATGTATCCTACGTAGGAAAACGTGCAGAATAAGGATGGTGTTGCTTAGGCTGCTGTAACCCGGGGAGAATTGTGCGGCAGCCAAGAGGAGAGATGCGTTTCAGAGGTCTGATGGAGCTCCAGTGGATTATTATTTGCATGAATTATAATTTTGTGCAGTAATGAAATAAGAATAGGAAAGCAGACGAGCGGTGATTCGGCTCCTGAGCGATGGCCACTTTTAACTCAGAGCAGTGGGTAGTGGATGGGATTCTTTTTTTTTTTCTCATCTGAAAAATACATGTGTTCTTAGATGTGAGCTGGCATTCGCATCTTGTAGAGAAAGCTGGAGGAGTCAGAGGGAGAGAGGGAGAGGCAAGGAAGCAGTAATGAATGTAGCAAAGGGAAGAACAAAGGCTGTTAGAGCTTGCACATTGGAACACTGAACGTTTTGCCTTGGGGATTCTTTTGCCAGAACTGTTACTTCCTTTAACAGGAAATCAGCAACTCTAGAATCTTACGCGGTGTGATTTTCAAAAACAAAACCTGGCCAGTCTTGGCTGCGTTAGCTGGTTTGGTAATCTGCAGTCTAGATAAATATGGAGGCAAAATGGTGAAAACGTTCTGTTCTGGCGTGAAATGAGGGTCCTCCCCTCTGCGCTCAGCAGAGTAAAGTAGACAGTCTTGAAAGCCCTGAAAGACTGTGGGATTCGGGTAAGTTTTATGGTGGCTGATGGTAGACAGGGCGCCTGCATCGCATCAGTGTGACATGTACAAGGGAGCCTTTTTACTTCCGACTGCAGCAGGTTACATAAAGTACTTAGGTATTAATTGTAGGAAAGTGAAAACAGCACGCCAGTGTTGCGCTTGGGATTGTGTTTCCGTGGGTTTTAATGCAGCTGCAGTGTATTGTTTCTCAGAATCAATAGGGCAGTAGGTAGCAAAATGCCTAACGTCACTACGCCGGTCTCTTTCCATCTTTTCTGTGATTTGGATGCAGAGGTTCTATATTTCATCAGGCATCCGTAGCAAAATTACGCTTCACAAGCGTGAGAAGTTCTCATGGCTTGATAGGAACTGTGCCCATCACTACTGTTAATGCATGCTCTCTTCCAAGGGCCAGCTAAAATGTGTGTTAACAATGTGAGAGCACCTTTCGGGTGTTTTTTTTTCTCTCAACCAGAATAGTGAAGTGCTTCAAGCTTTAATGTACTTGAATGGCCGTGAAAATCAGCACATCTGTTTTATTTGGGTTTTTGAACCAGCTCTGTGCGGGGAATTTTTATTTTTAGCAAAGGAAGTTTTGAATTTGCAGGGCTTTTTTGTGGGCTGCAACATAAGAAACCTGAATAGATGTGGGAGCCTGCAGCGTTCTTGGTGAGTTGGTGGGTTTGGGGGCTTTTTTTGTGTTTTTTTTTTAAGAATTGGAAGATTTGTTCGTGCTTTTCACTGGGTACTTTTGCACGCAGGCCAGCTTCCCTGCAGAAAATGCTGCTGAATGCGTGGGGGTTGGTCCTCTCTCTGAGCAATCGTGAGCTCATCTTCCATTGAGGCTTGCCTTGGGTGTCGGATCCTGAGGGTGGGGGAAGTGATTTACCACGTCTCCTTTCAATTAATCAACTAATTTTTATTCTTCTTCAAAATAATAACGGGAAATAGAATACAGGCATGCACACAGATTGCTGGGTTTGTATGCTTAAAATGCTTTGCCTTTCACAGGCCTGCCCATTGCTAGCATTGCTCCTGCAGGCCGTGCCTGGCCTGGGGCTCCTATGGAGGCTGTCTGGAGCAGAGTCGTGCTGTAATCCAACGAGAGCTGCCATCCATTTGAAAAACTATGGGAAATGGGCAGGAGGCAAGGGCCGTTCAGCGTGTGGTTCACAGTCGCACTGAGTGCTGTGATGTAGCTGCAGCACTCGGGAGGCCGGGTTGATGGTTGGGCTTGGCAGTCTTGGAAGGTTTTCCAGCTTGGATAATTCTGTGGTTCTGAACTGGAAATCTTAACGTTCACGTTGTTGTTGTACGTGCAAATTACTGATGTTGCTGTACTGGCTCGGTACCGAATCAAACTATGGTAGAATAGCATGCAAAAGAACAGTGTGGGGGCTTAGCAGCTTTTCGTTAAGTCATCCTTTATAAGAAATTCAGGAAGCTACAAGGCCCACATTTTGGCTTGATGTATTGTATTAATGGCAGAGAAAAGTTCATTTTCTATGGTTTTTCCCCCTCCAGACATCCAGGTTTGTTTGAAGCAACTTTGTTGTTCAGCTTGCATGAAAAGACATGCAGTCAGATGTGAACTGGTGCTGCCTGCTGTGGACGCATTTTCTGTCTACTCTTCAAATTTCACAATTTCCTTTAAAAAGAAAAAAGATTGAATGTGCGTTTCTCCTGTTACACAGCTTATGTTTACAGGTTATGCCTGAGGTTTGTAAACTTGAAGCCTGAACTGGCTCTGTTGTTGCTAAGCAAGGCTTCTGTATCCAGTGCTGGGCTCTGCTTGCAGCTGTTCTTGGGCTTGGGGGTAGAAATGGAAGGGAGCATGGACATTTTTCACATCTGTTTTGTGTAGGACCTGACTGCATGCAGCTAGTTTTAGTCTCTCAAAGAGAAACTATACGTATCCAGTTGTGCCACCTGCTTTTGTCTGTATGTTTTTGTCACTGTGCGGTGAAATCTACATTTGTCTAAGTTGGTAGAAGTAACTTTTGCTGAAAAAGCAAAAACTTCATTCACTAATTCTGCCGTAGCAAAGTTGTGTCTTTGGCCAGTGGACGCACATGCTTGGGTGGCTGTGTTTCACAAGGGAAGAGCAGCTCGCTCCGTGCAGTGCCAGCCTTCTAAATCACAGTTCCAGAGTGTTCTACCTGATGGTGGTAAGAGCTGGGACTGTGCTCCGGATGCAAGGTTTGTGGGCAGTGTCTCAATGAGCGTCCATTTGAAGGAGCGCTCTGAGCAGCATTCAGGTGCTGTAGCTGTGAGTGAGTATAGGTAGGTCTGAATGCTAATGACTGGTTTTAAACTTCTCTCTGTTGAAGTGGTCAGGCACTTGAGCCTGTTGCCCTGAGAGGTTTTGGAGTCTCCATCCTTAGGGATGCTCAAAACCCGACTGGATGGCATCCCAAGCATCCTGCTGGGGTTGACTTTGCTTTGAGCGGAGATGATGCAGTTCAACCTTAGTTATGATTCAGTGAAATGGCTGTTTTCTAAGCAAGTGAAGAATAAATCTTGAAATCCTTATGGAACAATTGATAGCAACATTACTGCATTGAGTGGCAAAAAACCTAGAAATTTTAGCGTTTGAAATATTCTGGTAATGCTTTCCTTCCTAAGGCTTTTTTGAAGAGGAGGAAGGGATAAAATTGGTAGGAGGTTCTCCTAGAAACCCAGAAATACAAATTCAGATTTCTCTGGCTTGTTAAAGTTTGTAAGTGGAGGCAAATCTGATTCTCTTTTAGTTAAGGGGACTCCTCTGTATAATGTTGAAATAGCACAGTGCTTGATACAAATTCTGACTGCAAAACACACCAATATTTCAGAAAGATTGGTAAAAAACTAAGGCACAGCAGCTGCCTGTAAGGAAAGTCACATTTCTGGGAGCAAGAATTGATTTCTGTGGCAGTAACAAGTCGTGGGAACCTCGATAAGGCAGAAGGCCTGCATTGTGTGTGAATACGATCAGCACTGCTGATTGTGGTTTGAGTGGCCCCTTGCACATCCTACTTGCCTGCTGAGTATTTCAAACCACACTGAGTCATGATTTGAGATGTGGTTCTCATTTCCTGACAGAGTTTTGCTGGTTGAGCTAGCGTGTTGCTTTTGTCTCTCCTTAGCTTTCAGAGTAAATAATAGAAAATGTTGGTTCGTCATCATTGCTCTTGTATGTTGCGTAACTGATGAGCTGCTTACAGGCTGTGTGTCAGGCTGACATGTGCCTCGGCTTAGGAGATATTGCTGTAACTCTTATTGAATCACTTAAGTCTTCTCTACATGATGAAATCTCCTGGCATAACAATAGAGAAATAAAAAATACGTGTTTTCATGCTGGTTCTGCTCATCTGGCTGTTGACACCAAAAAGCACCTTTAAATTTCAGCAGCAGTTTGTAGGCGGCTTGGCCTTCCTTGTGGAGAACAATGTGCCCCATCTGCAGCTGTCCTACAGCCCAAGGATCCACCATACTTAGAAAGTGGGAACAAATGTTTTCTTCTGTGTGCATTTTTCTCCCTTGGCAGAGGGGAAAGGTAGGCCAGTTTGCTGTGCATGGAATGTGGCACCTGGAACCAGCTCAGATACAGGGCCTGGCAAAAATGCCTTGCAGTAAAGCAAAACTGCCTACCATCCTTCAGAAGCACTGTTTGCTTCTAAGCTCTGGTGTTTCTCCGGTTGCTGTTTATGCCGTCAGGGATCTGAGCCTTTTTCACACCTGCACAAAGCATCGCTGTAAGAAAGCTGTGCTTCAGAATGGTCTCTTCAGTCTGTAGCAGAGGCTCCCAGGTGCATGCACTCTCCTTTGCGTATGCTCTCCCCTTTTTCTGGAATATGCCTTTGAAAACCTTTGAGAGCATCTTTGGGTTTTGCATCTTACCA